AACAAAGCGAGGGCACAGAAAATGTTTCCTCCACTGTTAAACATTCTCCTCATACCTTAAAGTGTCTAGTTTCCAACATGGATCCTTCAGTCCACTTAACAACAATTTAATTCCTGAGTCTCCTGGATCATTATAGCTCAGATCCAGCTCTTTCAGATGGGAGGGATTGGTGCTCAGAGCTGAAGCCAGAGAAACACATCCTTGCTCTGTGATCAGACAGCCTGACAGACTGAAGACACAAAAAACAACAATCCATCTGTGAACACTTCACTGAAGCTTTTTTCTTTTCGTGATACACAGCCATCTATTCATTCAGTTCAGTTTAGCTTTATTTATATGTGATAATTTAGACAGATAACACCAGTTGTCTTGAATTGTGTAATGACGCACATCTATGTTCGGAAACTCTAGGAACTATATTGATCCAAGAACTACAGGGAGAGCAAAAGACTCTGTTGGTAAAATATGATGCCGTAAGGTCATTGAGATATGATGGTGCCTGAACGTTCAGGCCTTTGTACGTTAGACTGACTCTGGAAAGAGTATGTTTATACATATCACATAAATTTAATGATATTGATCAGTATTGTTTGTTGTTTAATTGTAAAAAAATAATCCACAATAATTATTCTGAATTATTACAGTGAACTTTATATAACATAAAAATATAGAGGCCTGTAGAAGTTGAAGATTAACCTTTGTGTGTGAGAAACACTTTTCCATGAACAAATTAAAATCCATCCGATAAACAGCATTCAAATCATTGTAGCCAATTTCCTTTAATAAAAACATTGTATTCTAGCCTCTGTAGTATAATGCACTATATCAAATGCAGCACTCAGGTCTAGGAGGACAAGCACAGAGATGAGTCAACTGTCAAAGGCCATAAGAAGATCAATATTAACCTTCAACAGTGCTCTTTCTGTGTTATAATGAACTCTAAAGCCTAAAACTGACCTACAAGAACTCTTCAGATGTTTTTAATGAAAGGAAGATTAGCAATTATCCTACAATTAGCTTATAAGCTGGATCATGTAAAGGCCTTTTAAGTAATGGTTTAATTACAACTACATTAAAAGCTCTGTTGTACATTCCTTTTTATTAAAGATAAATTTCGCTTTAAAATTGAACTGTCTATGCAATATTATAATTATGCTTTTAAAAGATCAGAGAAAAAGTCGGATTCCTGACCTCAGAGTTTCCAGTGCACAATGCGAACTCTCCAGTCCAGCAGAGAGAAGTTTCACTCCAGAATCCTGCAGGTCATTATTACTCAGGTCCAGCTCTGTCAGACTACAGGACCGACAGCGGAGAACTGAAGTCAGAGCTTCACAGCTTCTCTCTGAGAGGTTACAGCCACTCAGTCTGTAAAAAAAAAAAAAAAGAAAAAAGAAAAGTAAAACTTTTATTTTGACACTCAATGAGAAAAACAAATATTTCCTTGATAAAGTCATAATTTGTGAATAAGTAAAAAACTAATTTAAGTTTAGACCAAAACCAGAATACTTTTACATTTTCTTAGTAAGTCAAAATACTTGTAGGAGCCATTTTTGGGTTGATACCTTATGTATGCCGCTAGAGGTCACCTTTAGAGTTTTTCTGTATGTTTATGTGAAAGTATTTAAGGTAGACACACATATTTAACCGTTGTGTGTGAGAAACACTTTTACATGAACAGTTTGTGACTGCTGCACTGCTATGTTAAATCATGAAAATAAAGAATCTAAAGGACAAGATGAGTAAGGCTGGAATTATTGAACTGCATCAAGTTTAATAAATGAATGCTTAACAGTGACATCGCGTCACCCCCACCAACGAACACCTCAGTGGCTTCAAGCGTAGGCTTAGCCTCTACAGTACTTATACAAAGCTGGCAGATATAGTTCAGTACACACTTCACTGGTACAAGCATACACCACTGCTGGTCATTTTCCTGATTTTAAACTGTGATTATTGTTACTATGTACAGCTCCTTGTTTAATCACATAGCAATCCTTAATGCAGACTTTTAGTTAATCCTTTCTAAAACAAGCAGGTTAGACCTTTCTCTTTTAAAACTACTCTTCCTAAAAGCATAGTTCTCTTTTGATTAGTCTATTTCAGGAAACAGAAAGGGCAGCACTTAATGTTTGGGAGCCCCACCTCCTCTGCCTTGTACTTTAGTTGTTCTGAAAACATACCTTTAGACTGGAGTTAGTAATCCAAGCATTGTGTATACAAAAAAGTGTCTCTATAAAAAGCTGTGCAGTCCAAATTTTTTCTCCTAACTAGATATCATAGCAGACATAATAGAGATTTAAACAATAAGATAAGGGATTATGATGAAGGTTAGTTACACTGAGACTGAGCTATGTTCAGTACCATCAAAAGAAGAAAAAGTTACAGTCTGCTGACTAAATTATAAGGATTAGAATTGAAAAACAAACCTCCTGACTTAGAAACAAAATCATGAGTGAACAACCTGATTCTAGGGGGCTGAGATATCAGACCTATGTTGTTGTTGTTGTTGTTGTTGTCTATCTAGGTTCTCAGTCACCCAGCACATAGAGTCAGGCCAGAAAGATATAACACTGCTCCAAGAAAAGTGAACCTGAAATTTCTTAACAACAGGCTCAAACTGAGGGTAATTTATCTATAATGATATTTTCCAGAAATGCTAATACTTTCTGTTATGAAACATTAAAAATATCCTACAATTGATTGTGAGTGCAGATGATCATTTAATTTAAAAGTTACACCTATGTCAGCAGTGTAAAGTGCCAGCAGCCATTACACTATTTAGGTTTCTTGAATTTTGCATGCCTGCTTTTTTGAAAAGTAGAATCAATATTTTCAAAACAAAAGGATGAGAACGTGTTTGCTTACAGAGCTTTGTTGGAGGCTTTGATCACTGGCAGCAGCCTCAGCAGAGCCTCCTCTGAAGCAGAGTATTTCTTCAGGTCAAACACATCTAGATCTTCCTCTGATGACAATAAGATGAAGACCAGAGCTGACCACTGAGCAGGAGACAGTTTCTCTGTAGACAGCCTTCCTGAACTCAGGGATTGTTGGATCTCATCCACTAGAGAACGATCATTCAGTTCATTCAGACAGTGGAACAGATTGATGCTTTTCTCTGCAGGCAGATTCTCATTGATATTCTCCTTGATAAACTTGACTGTTTCCTGATTGGCCTGTGAGCTACTTCCTGTCTGTGTAAGCAGGCCTTGTAGGAGACTCTGATTGGTTTGTAGTGATAGTCCCAGAAGGAAGCGGAGAAACAAGTCCAGGTGTCCATTTGTACTCTGTAAAGCTTTGTTCACAGCATTCTGGTAGAAGGGTGTAGGATCTCTTGTTTCAGAGTTCTGGGATGTCATCTCTTTCTCTTCCAGAAGATTAATACCAGAGTTGATCAAAGTCAGGTGGACATGAAGAGCAGCCAGAAATTCCTGAATGCTCAAATGGATGAAGCAGAAAACCTTGTCCTGGTACAGTCCTCTCTCCTCTTTAAAAATCTGTGTGAACACTCCCGAACACACTGATGCTGCTCTGATATCGATGCCACTCTCCATCAGGTCTGATTCATAGAAGATCAGGTTTCCTTTCTGCAGCTGTTCAAAAGCCAATTTTCCCAGAGACACAGTCATCTCCCTGCTCTCTGGACTCCAGTGTGGATCTGTTTCAGCTCCTCCATCATACTTGACCTTCTTTACTTTGGCCTGAACCACCAGGAAGTGGATGTACATCTCGGTCAGGGTCTTGGGCAGCTGTCCTCCCTCTCTGGTTTCCAGCACATCCTCCAGAACTGTAGCAGTGATCCAGCAGAAGACTGGGATGTGGCACATGATGTGGATGCTTCGTGTTCTCTTGATGTGGGAGATGATTCTACAGACCTGCTTCTTATCTCTGAATCTCTTCCTGAAGTACTCCTCTTTCTGAGGGTCAGTGAACCCTCTAACCTCTGTCACCATGTCAACATATTGAGGAGGGATCTGACTGGCTGCTGCAGGGCGTGTGGTTACCCATAGGCGAGCAGAGGGAAATAGATTCCGTGTGATGAGGTTGGTCAGAAGCACATCCATTGAGGTGGACTCTGTAACATCAGTCAGCGTCTCAATGTTTTGGAAGTCCAGAGGAAGTCTACACTCATCCAGACCATCAAAGATGAACACAACCTGGAAGTCTTCGAAACTGCAGATTCCTGATCCTTTGGTTTCAGGAAAGAAGTGGTGAATAAGATCCATCAAGCTGAACTTTTTCTCTTTCAGCACATTCAGCTCTCTGAAAGTGAATGGAAACATGAACTGGATGTCCTGGTTGGTTTTGTCTTCAGCCCAGTCCAGCGTGAACTTCTGTGTTAAGACTGTTTTCCCAATCCCAGCCACTCCCTTTGTCAGCACTGTTCTGATTGGTTCATGTCTCTCAGGTGAGCCTTTAAAGATGTCTTCTTGTCTGATTGTTGTTTCTGAACTATCTGATTTCTTGGATACGGTTTCAATCTGTCTAACCTCGTGTTCATCATTGACCTCTGTGGACCCTCCCTCTGTGATGTAGAGCTCTGTGTAGATCTGATTCAGCAGGGTTGGATTTCCTGCTTTAGCGATCCCCTCAAAAACACACTGGAACTTCTTCTTCAGTTTTGATTTAAGCTCACTTTGACTCGATTGGAAGTTCCTAAAAGATGTTTCTGGAGGAACAAACAGACAAAAAATATAAGTCAAGGACTTGTCAAGTGCATATGTTGTGAGTATATATTGGTCCATTAATAAATGTCCCATTTATCAGATAGCATGAATCTTTAGACGCATCCTCTTACTGCTCTGCAGACGGTCAGCGAGCTCCTCTTGCTTCATTCTCCTAAGAAAGAGCAGTGTGATCTTAACCAATGCTTCTCGGCAGCTCCTCCTCTGCTCTTCATCCTCACTCTCTAACATCTCCTCATCTTCCCTCTGACTCTCTAAGAATTCTGGGTAATCTGGAGTCAGAACCTTCTGGATCTTCTTCAGTTCATTCTTCACAAAAGTGACAATGCTGTCCTCCAGCAGCTGCAACAGAATACTTTAAAAATTACCTGGTCACCCCATAAACACAAGCAGTTGCAACACATAGAGAAATACAAAAAAAAAGAAATGAAAAGTATAAAGACCCAGGAACAATAAAGAGAACAAAATGCAAACTACAAAAGAAAAAAGACAAAATGCAGTGATGATTTATAAATGCTTTAGCAGTAAAAGAGGGGATTAAAGACGTAATCAGTGCATCATCGGAAGTCCTCCAGGAGCCCAAGCCTTCAGCAGCATAACTAAGTGATTGTTAATGATCACCTCATTCAGTCCTCACTATAAGCTTCATCAAACAGCAAAGTTTTAAGGCTAATCTTAAAACTAGAGCAGCCATCTGTCTCCCAAACACAAACCGAGAGCTGTTTCCACACGAGAGAGTCCTGACAGCTGAACGTTTTCTCGTCTATTTTACTGTCAGAAACTCTAAAGTGCACTTTTGGGATAATAAGGTACAGTAACAAAGTAGAAATACTTTGTACTTAAGTAAATGTGTCAGGTATCTTCAGTATTTATTTTCCTGACAACTTTTTTTTTTTACTCCCTACAAATTAACACAAACATTTGTACTTACCACCCCTCACATTTTCAAAATAGACTTGTTACTTTTGGTTCATCTATAGCATTTATACTCAGGGGTTTAAGTGGGCTGGAATGGTGCACGTGTCCATAAACTGTGGTCATGGTACTTAAACATTTAGTTAGTTCTACAGAAGAGGAGCGAGCATAAAGGAAGTAACATTTTTTTTTAACTCTCTGGTAATTTAATATTTGACATTTCTATCAGCTCCACAAACATCAGCAAACTCAAACTGTTTGTGTGCAGTTTGTCTCACAGTGTGTTGCAAGCTAAAGGTCCAGCTGCTGTTTTTCACAGGGAGAGAAAAGAGTGTGAGATAAGATGAAGGAAAGGCAGGACAGGAGGAAGAGAAGTTAGATTTAAAGGTAAGGCCTGCTCAGTGACACAGTTGTCATTTTTAACCACATATTGGATCTGTACATGATGTGTTTTGATAAAAAATGTATTTTAATATTGTCAGTCATCCTGCAAAACAAACTAAGCTATACTTATTTTGTGTTATTCAAATGTTACACGAAAGCACTGGTAGTTTGTAAAGAGGTTAGCTTTCTGTGACTTTATTGCAAATTCATTTTATTTTTATTTTTGCACGGTGGCCGGTCAGTGTTGGGTTACATCAAGCGCAGTAGACTAACATGCATTTAAGATCATGATAGTTAGATTCATTCAAATAGCTGATTAAACTGCTGCCAGTTTGTTGAATTCAACAATTCAGATTAAATCAGCTGAACACAGCCTGTGCAAAAATCTACTGGATCTGACAATACAAATTTTTTGTGAGTTGTGATTCTTTTCCCCACACTGAGCCACTACACCACAAACTGTGGTCCCTTCACATGCCAGCTCCAACTTTAACCCCTGACTGTACTCATTTTCCTCTTCAGGTGTGCAGGCAAAGTCCAGGCAACAAAAAACAGTTCTTCGTTTTTAAATTCTCTTTCACTGCATGTGACCTAAACAACAGAATAAAATTGAGTATATTTATTAGAATTAAAATTATGATTTGAATAATATTTGTATTCTCATGTACTAATGTATAAGGTTCAATTATCTTTGTACACAAATGGTTAGTAGAAATGTCCTTCAAGGAGATACTTGCTACTTTCTTACTTTGAGTATATTGCGGAGCCTGTACTTGTTCACTTTTACTTAAGTAATGAAGTTTCTTCAGTACTTCTACTGGAGTATTTCAGATACCCAGGTATCTGTAATTCTACTTAAGTACAGAATATCTGTACTTTTACCAAATCTGGTTCTATATGAGAGCTGCACAGTACAAAACAGGATATTGTCATCTCTCGTGACCAGACACATTTTTTAACATAATGGTTTCCAATTATCTATCTACCCAAATAGTTTACTAGACACTAACCAGCAGCTGAAGAAAAACATGTATCTGTAGAAGTAAAATTAGTCACCAGTAATGCTAAACCACAAAGTTTTATATTATTCTGTAAAAATAAGTTTAGTATTAAACTGTGCTTAATTGTGCTTCCATTTCACCTTACCTCATCTCCAATGCTAGAAGAAACTAGTGTTTGTCATATGTACCATGTACAGCATGCAGATAAGAGCACTCTGAAATTTGACACAAGCGTTCTGTTTGAAGGAGAACCAGCTTTACCTCCTGAATCACAACCCACACACTCAACTTCGAAATAACTAAGAAGAGAATAAATGTAAAAACAGCTGTTGTGCATGTACAAACCACAAATATGGAGTCCAGGTGTGTTTGATGCTGCTGCTCAGACTGACCACTGGGAACCTCTGAGGTCTCCTGATCCACTCTGTGGAGGAATCATGAAGCAAAAGTATAATCACACAAAACACCATAAACAGCTACCTAAGGTGCCACTGGTCCTCCACATTATACCAAAAAACACCCAAACTAACAAAACAATGCCTTCCTGCTAATGTCTGGAGCTCTGAAGGCACCCTGTGTTATCTGACACAGACAGTGAAAACAATAAATGCCCTCACAGTACTTGCTGTATAATTATTAAGGATCCTGACAGTTGATGTGTGTTGGGGGTGCATGGACCATTACAATGTTTATTAATCTCAGAACTCTGCCAACAACCACAGTGATGGTCTCATGAGAAGCTCATGAGAGAAAGGGAAACAGTCAGTTAGGCTCATTATAGACAGGAAAGGCTCTCATTAAGACTGTTGTGTTTGTGGAAGAACTCCAGCACACACAAAATCACATATGAACACAGAAACATGTGTGACAAGAGCCGGTCTGACGGGAAACATTTGGAGAAGTTATTCAGAAATAACAGAATCAGTTAGAGATTTAGATGCAGATTACCTCTCCACGACAGAAGCTTCTTCTTTAAATGTAATATCATACTGCTTTGAATGGCTGCTCTGTAATGACACAGAGCTGGGGTCAGACCTCTGATGGTAGCTGAAAGAAAAATAATATTTGTTAAAATCCTCTCACACAGAAAATGCTAAAAGAAAAAAATGTGAATATACGTTCATGTAAATAAAGAGAATAAAATAAATTTTCAATTAGAAATGTAGACCAGTTTACAATAGAATTAAATATTTAAAGAATATCTCAATCTTAAACAATTAAAACATTTTGAAATATTATTTAAACCTAATTAAATAGTGAGAACTACTTACTATGTGTCAGATGAATGTCCAATGAAATTAACTGAGCGACCACAACATGAAACATTTCTTAGATGTATTTAGAAAAACAGATTCGGTTAGAATATTTGGACACAGTTTACCTCTCCACAGCAGAAGCTTCTTCTTTAAATGTAATATCATACTGCTTTGAATGGCTGCTTCTTAAGGACACACAGCTGGGTTCAGCTCGCTGATGGGAACTGTGAGAATGAATAATGAGTAACAATATGAAATTACATTTGTAGACCACGTTATATTAAAAATGGCTAACAAACAATCAAAATCTTAAAAAACTCAAACTATCTTGTGAAATATTATCTAACTCTGATTGAATCCTGAGAACGACTTACTCTGTGTCTCACGAATGTCTTTGAAATATTAAATAATTTTCTGCTCAGCTCGTTCTTTAACTTTAGGTCCAGGTCAACGTTTAGTTTTTCTGTAAATAATGATGGTGCAGTGATGTGAGTGCTCAGCTGCAATATTTACAGATGTCATGTCACCTCTGAGCTTTGGGCTGGATCTCATGTTCCTCACACAGAGTGGTTTTAGAGGGAGGGACTCCCTCCTCTCTGTCCTCACGCTCATCCATGCTGTGGAATTCCACATCTGCAGAGGAAACACAAATTATTCATATGAACATCAACTGAAATCCTTCTTTCCATTATGTGTACTGAACATTACAAAGTAACACACTACTGTAATCACATTACAATTATGCGGTCACTTACATTACAAATGTTTGATGATTATCAATCAGGTGAGACAGAAAGTAAAATAAAAACACTCTTGCTGCAGCAACTTTTCAGGAGTGAGTTTATGACATTGTTTTTATTTCCCAAAAGGACATGAGCATGATGGTTGAATGCAAACAGCGTCCAGAACAGAAACAACCACATTATGATGAAATTATGCAGACAACATGCAAACACACTGCTACCCAAAAACACATAGTGATGATAGTACTGACTGAATGCTGACTACAGCTCTGCAACCAGACCCTGAACTGTTTCTACCTGTTTAGGCTGAACAGCTTAATCACTCTGGTGATCCCACTTAAGTCTCTTTAGCTGTTTTTTAACTTTTCTTTGCATTTTTCACTTTCTGTTCACACTGCAGGTAAACACTAAAAAAGATTGCAAGTGTTTCCTCGTTGTTTGTGTTAGTGTGGGAGACTGTAGCCTGGTCATTTTTAGACAGTGTGTTTCAGGTTATTTTCTGGAATAACAAGAAAGTAAAATGAAAGCAACAAGAAAGTAAGTAATGTAATGAGGAGTGTACTGACCTACTTTCTAATTACATTCTCCAGCAGGTATTTAAGCAATGCACGGCATGACTTTTTAGAAAAGTAACGAGTAATGTGTAATACATTACTTGTTTTCAGTAAGGACTCCAACACTGGTGCTGAACGGGGAGTCATCTTGTCGCACACAGGATGACTCCCCGACACACCTGGTTTACTCTGAATGGAAGCTTCAATCCACTGATATTCAGTCAGTGAAACACGTCTGAACATTTTCTATCTTTTCAGCTGATCCATTATTCAGAGTGCCAGCAGTGTTAAAGCTACACAATAATTAATCCTGGTTACTTTTCAGAAAACTGTGCACACACTGATTTGCTGTTAATAAGAGGCATTTTCCATCTAATAGCAATCTATCTCTGTAAATTCCAGGATTAATGTGGACAGACATCAAGAGCTGCAACTAAACATTACATTCACCATTAACCAGCCAATTATCTTTTAGATTTGTTTCCTTTACTGTCAGTTAATACTTTGACTGCAGCTCTACAGTCAATACTTATTTTCGTATTTTTTAGCAGAGTGGAAAGCTGCTGAAACTGGGAATCATGTTAGCGAAACACTGAACATTTGTAAGAACCTGAACTTGACAACCTGACTAAATCGCTAAAATCAAGCTTTAATGTAGTTTTATTTTCAAAGAAGTGACAGGAAAAAGCGGCACTCTGCTCTTACAAGACATAAAAACTCATTATAGTTTGTTTTCCGAAGACGTCCACCACACATCAGCTGCTTATGTTTTGATTTCAACTGTGTGGATTTCTGTTCAAACACAGCGATCCAGCGTTTGTCCTGAGGTACGAGACTTATAAGAAGACCGCATCTTGCGCAAAAATCACAGCCAGAAAGCAAGACGAACTGTTAGAGAAAGAATCAAAGCAAACTCACAGGTTCTTCAAACATTGCATAAGAGAAAGAATCTCCGCTCCATACCGGAAACTAAACACTGACGCACAGGTGAGCTGCTTCCTGAGAGGAGGCTGGACTCCACCTGAAACAGGTGACTTTAATGACTTTGTTTAAATCTTTAAACTGATCGGATTTGTTTCTACATTTTGGGAAACAGTAGCTACGTTATTGCACATGATGTGACGCTAACCGGCTCCGAAGCAGGTTAAGACCCAGGTTAGAGATCATCAGGTATGAAATCACCGCCTACTGATCCTCCAGAAAATAGCGTCACCTTTTCCGGTATCTGTCGCACGTCTGTGTGCGAACATCAGGGGCGTGTCACAGAAATGTCCATGTATTCATTTGGGGATTTTAATCCGCTGCTGAGTCTCTTGTGAGGAGACAGAGTTGGGACCACATCTAAAGAGACAGAGAAAAACATTTCAGGAAGTTGATTTTCCTGGATCAGCATATAGCTTAGGGGTGACCATATATGAAATAATGCTTCATCTGCATAAGAAAAATTACCAGTACTGGGTCGGTACGAAGGAATTTTTTTTAGATGCACTTGCGCGTTGGGATCTTTTAAACATGATTGGGCGCGTTGCTGCGCGCTGTCTGTCCCGTTTGTGAGCGCAGAACAAGCGCTCACAAAGCAGCAGTTCGGGGATGAATTCACACAAACACCGACATTTTTATCAATCTCGAAAACCCCCCAGACGCCCCGGACGGAACGTGAACAATGAACCTCTCCGGGAAAAGGGGACGGTGGGTCACCCTAATATAGCTGTGTGTCTGAGGTTTTTTATATATATAATTTTATTTTTTATTTTATTTTTTTTACTATTTATTTATATCACCAGTGCGAGTTTTTGAGCACACTTGTTGCCAACGCAGTTATCTGAGTGGTCGAATCTGCTTATGCAAAAGACTCCTGTTCCACCTTTGTGCAAGGTGGAACAGGAGGAGCACTGTCAGAGCCTGCAAAATGACCGCCAGCAGGCCACAAATGTGCATGTGTCTGCTCAAACGGTCAGAAAGAGACTCCATGAGGGTGGCGTGAGGACCTGATGTCCACATGTGGGGGTTGGTACAGCCCAACAATGTGCAGGATGATTGGCATTTTCCAGAGAACACTAAGATTGGCAGCTTCAGCACTAGTGCCCTGTGCTCTTCTCAGATGAAAGTAGGTTCATACTGAGCACATGTGACAGAGTCTGGAGGCGCTGTGGTGCCTGCAGCATCCTCCAGCATGACCGGTTTGGCAGTGGGTCAGTAATGGTGTGGGGTGGCATTTCTTTGGGGGGGCCCACAGCCCTCCCAAAGAAATGCCAGAGGTAGCCTGACTGCCATTAGGCACCGAGATGAGATCCTCAGACTCCTTGTGAGACCATATGCTGGTGTGGTTGGCCTTGGCTTCCTCCTAATGTAAGACAATGCTAGGCCTCATGTGGCTGCTGTGTGTCAGCAGTTACTGCGAGATGATGGCATTCATGCTGTGGACTGGCCCGCCCGTTCCCTGAACCTAATTGAGCATATCTGGGACATCATGTCTTGCTCCATCCACCAACGCCATATTGTACAACAGACTGTCCAGGAGTTGGTGGATGCTTTAGTCCAGGTATGGGAGGAGATCCCACAGGAGACCATCTGCCACCTCATCAGGAGCATGCCCAGGCATTGTGGGGAGGTCATACAGGCACGTAGAGGCCACACACACTACTGCGCCTCATTTTGACTTGTTTGAAGGACATTACATCAAAGTTGGATCCAGACCTCCATGGGTAGCTACATTTGATTTCCATTGACAATTCTTGTGTGATTTTGTTCGGAGCACATTTAACTATATAAAGAATAAAGTATTTAATAAGAATATTTCATTCATTCAGATCTGGGATGTCTTATTTTTGTGTTCTTTTTTATTTTTTGAGCAGTGTTTAAATATCAGGAAAAATCAAGCTTCATTCAAAAAACAAATGTCACAAATATGTCCTGTCATTGTGAATTGCCACATTAAGAATAGGTGAGACTGAAGAATATTTTTAAACACAAAATATTTACAGAAACTTTACTTGTCCAATGTGTAAAGGCATTAATACTTATACTAAGTTCCCTTACTCTTGCCTGTGGCATATACCCTACATACATGAATTATTAAGAAGACTAAAGCAGCATATTAAACATAATTCCCCTATTATGTTTCACAATAATACCATAATGGATCAAGCAGTTTCTGCAGATCAATTAAAACAAGGACAAACAGTCTGAAAAGCTGTTTTTTTTGTTTTTTTTTTTATCCCAGAGCTGCACAAATGCTGAAATATCCTGAATGATTGTTAATGAATCCATGCTGTAATTCTTCTTTGTTCAAAAACATGCAGGCTGTTGTCATACTGTCTCTACTGTTGTTTGACTTCTTTGCAAAACCCAAAGACAAACTGGTTGTGTTCACCTCAATTTATTTCAGATTTTCACAACAGTTGACTGATAAAATTTTTGTGGAACATTTTCTTGCCCTTAAATGTATAGTGGAATATCCATGTTGTTGTCTTTTTAAAATGATTTAATACTACTGTCTATAACTTCACGAAAGGTGTTTGTTTTAAATGTCTTGTCAGCATTTGTGAGTCCACATGCAAATATTTCTTACTGATCTGAAGATAAGCTCTACAGTATGAAGCTCCCTGACTCTGGAACATCCTTCACCATTGCCCCCATTCATCTGAAGCTGTGTAAGCTCCCTTAGCTCTGTGTCATAATAATCTGGTTGTAGTTAAATCTCAATATGAGATAAGAGAATTTACCCTAATTTTAATATGTGGGTCAGAATGAGCTCTCAGAATCCAGTGTTTTTGCAAAAGACTGACAACAATTTGTCTTGGTTCCTCTCTGAGTACCTTTAAACACTTTATGAATAAAACCTTAAATGCACTTATAGAAACAAATAAAACAACAAGGGTCTCCAAAAATATTTTAATAATTATCACATAATATATTATCACATATCTCATCGATCAGAGAGAATTTTTTTTTTGCGTTTTTTTTTCATTTTTTATTCATGTTGCCTGAACTGAATAAGATGTGAAAGGGTTGTTTGCATGTTCTCCCTGTGTTATAAAGGGTTCTCTCTGGTTACGCCAGCTTCCTCCAACAGTCCAAAGGCATGCAGTTAGTGGGGTTAGGTTAACTGCTAATTCTAAATTGTGTATAGGTATGAATCCCAGTGTGAATGGTGGTTTGTCTCTCTGTGTTAGCCCTACATCAGATTGGCGACCTGTCCCTGCTTCTTGCCCTGTAGTTGCTGGAATAAGTAGCTATGGATGGAAGTAGGATGGATACTCCAGGAGAAAACTAATTTCTGTTCACCCCAGACGGCTTAGCATCAAGAGTTTAATAAGAGGACGTAGTTGATTCTTTTTTTGTTCCATATTATTTTCATCTTGTCAACGTGCCTATATGTACACAAAAATATTCCATTAAGAAGAATTAGTAAAAAGAATGAGAAAGTACCCCAAATGTTGAGTTTTCAAGGATCTGTGATTACTCAGTCACTATAATCCTGTCTGTCAAGTCTCTCCCATCAAGGAAAAGTAGTAGAGCATTTTGTACTGTAGAATTATGTCTTGTGGTACCCTTTTTGTCAAAGTGCAATGTGTCTTTCTTCTTCATTGAACAGTGTAGATACAGCAACCTTTGGTTAAGTCTTTAAAACGGTGACTGAAAGCATTCAGTCAGAATACTTTTTATTTTTACAAAAAAAACTTCACTTCACTGTCCGACCTCTGTCCATCATCATCTTTAGTTTCTCATCAGTGGCTCCATTAGAGATTTGTGGGCATTAAATCACTAAACAGATTCACTTCTCACTCAACTTTTCAAACTCTCCTCTTCAGCAGCTGTGCTTTCTTTTTCGTTATTCTTGTCATCCTTATTTTTGTTTTTCTTGGCTGTAAGCAAAAATGTAAAAGACATTATTGTCAATAAATAAATAAACCATAAATTAGAAGCAGGAGCCAGAACAGCATTTTACCTGTTTTGTTTTTGCAGACACGCAGCAGCACTATGGCAGCAATAACTGCCAGAGTGGTTATTGCTGCCAACACCACGCCTATGATCATGGCTTTATGTGATTTCTCTGAAAAAGAACATTTTGCAGTTGATGCAGCTTTCAAAATCAAGGTCAGATTTATGCCTCTGCTTACATTAAATGTTTTACTTTTATCCTTTTCATGAGTTGTGACGACTTTACAGCCTTGTATTTGTTTTAATCTATAATTAGGCCTCATTGAACAATGTCTGCAGTGAATAATTTTTAAAATGTACTTAATCAGTCTAACAAAAGCAACCACTCCGTGTTAAACTAAGAAGGAACTTTTGTTGTACCAAATAAACTACTTACATTTTTAAGTTAATGTCAGTGTAATTGGTTCAGTGTCTATATTGATAACTCACTAACTTTTTCTTCAGGGTCTCCATGATGTAGATAGAAAAAAAAAATCAAGCCACATGAATTTACTCCAAAACAAACACTCTATAAGCATCCTTTGCTTGTTACACTAGTTGAAGAACACAGAAATCATAATAATAATAAATGGAGTTGTAGCAATAGTAGTGAAACAACAAGCAACAAGTGATATTTAAAAAATCAATAAAGAAAATAGCGGGAAAAAACGTAAAACATTTTCAGACCATACACAAATATGAAACAGTTTCTACTCAAAGAAGCTTTCCTTATTCCCTGACTTGATCTTACCTTCTGTAATCTGAAGAAAAGTACTTTTTATTAGTGTCTCATCAACATTAATGAGTTCACACGTGTATATTCCTTTCTTATCTGTAGATAAGTTCTGTAGTGTGAGGCTTCCTGTCTCTGAAACACTCTTCACATACGGCCTCCACTCCTCTGAAGCTGTGTAAGATCCCCCGACTTCACTCTCAGTCACGATGATCTGACTGTGGTCGAATCTCCAGATGAAACGAGTTACAGGGCTTTTTGAGTCAGAGCACTGGATTGTTCTTTCAGACTCAGAACCAGTGACATTATCTGAAATGATATCAAAGGAAAGCACAGGTGACATAAAAAAAATTTGATTCCAGTTTCTAAACTATCTGTGATTCTAATAAAAAAGTCCACAAATTAAGACCAAATAAAAAAAATTAAGACCAAATACACAAACAAGTTTGTACAATTACTGCGACTCTTCCTCGGATACTCACTCAGTTTAAATAAAGTTGCCGTTCTTCTGCTTTTTCTTGTGCTGACAGTGCAGGTATAATTTAAACCAGCATCAATTTCTGAGCGTGTCAGAGAACTACTGATGCTGTAAAGTTGTCCGTTCTGCTGGACACTGGGTTTTGACTCAATGGAGGAAGAAGGATCTGTAGACCAGGTGAGTGTAGGTTCAGGGGAGATCCCCTCTGACCTGCAGATGATGCTTTCTCCTGACTGCTCAATGTTAACGTTTTGGACTGGAACTGAAAAAAAAGATAAAAGTTTTAGCTCAGTGGGTGTGCAGGTGACCACATGTTGTACGGCCAGAGAGCAGTGGCCCAGGTTGGGCCGACCTGTGGCCCTTTGCTGCATGTTTTCCCTTCTCTCTTCCTGCTTTCCTGTCCATCCTCATCCTCACTGTCACTATCTAACAACAGCAAAATGTAAAAAAAACAAAACATAATAATATTAAAAAAAGAGAACCTCAGTGAATACAACGAGCATGAGGACACACTCTGTTGGCCAAATGAGTTCAAAGTGGATCTATTACACTGTCACATTGGTGAATATTTAAGTTGGCCAAAGTTACAGTTAAATTAGGCTGGTACATGGGCAGGTATTCCCTGTAAGCCAAATGCTTACAGGTGGGTAAACTGAGGGACTACAACAAAGCCCAGCATGAGTAAGTATGGGTTATTTAAAATCATGTGAAGGACACTAGTACAGTCCAAGAATCAAATAACTGGATCTTTATTAGATACACACTGTACATTTAAATCTCAAACAAGGTGTGGTGTTCAAGTATTTGCACTTTAGCCTTTCGGTCTTACAGGTAAATGACAAAATTGTTTTTATGACTTTTGTCTAGGCCTGATTATAGTTTCCATACTATAAAGTAATTTAAAAAGGGCGGATAGGTGTCTCTGTCTCTTTAAACTGAAAGCTTCGGCTCAGCCTTTGTTTTTTCATTTAAGTAGAAATGCTACATGTTTTTCTCTTTGTTCTGTTTTGTTTTAGCCAACGTTGAAGATGGGGAGCAAACATGATTATGACATGAGAGTGGGCTAAAACTTTTAAGATCTCAGATATTTGCAGGTGTCCCTTTGCTGTGTCTTTTGCTTCAGTTTCTCATACACTAAAACTGTCTGAGGTGTCTGTATCTATATTTGCAGCAGTGCAGGAATGCTGTATCAACTAAGGTCTGGAAATGTAATCTTATCAGCTCAATGTTTCTGTCCACTAGCAGACAGAGCAACAAATATTCCAAAAACTAAATCCAGTAAAGAAAACAAGCAACATGCCCTGAAAGTATTTTTCAAGTTAGCTGCAGTTTTTGTTTTGTGGTTTTTTTTTTTAGGTCTATTGGTTTTTGTAAAAATCATGTTCACTGAGGTTCACAGATTTTCTTTTCTAGAAAAGATTAACAGCAGCTTGGACAGGAAAGCAGCTTAAAAGCATGTGAAGAATGAAGCACTTCCAGTTTGAGGAGCAGGTGGCGTTAGCCGTGTAGCTTCTGTGAAATACCTAAAATGTCTGCCTAACAAAACAACCAGCCATGAACATTTTGGGGGATTTTCCATGTAGCCAGCAGATATTTGGGTCAAATATTGAAATTACTGTATGACATCAGATACATAAAAAAAGCTTCATGACAGTTGATTGTTATCCTGCGTATTCCGCCTCACACTATCCTTACCATAGACTGTTCAAACATGACTGGTCAATACAAACAGGAAAGCTATGAGTACCTGCAAATATGTAATACATGCTCGTATACAGAATCTCATTTAAGACATGACTAAAAGTTTGAATTAAGTCTGGTTTCTGTAATAACTGCAAAAATAAATCATTGCTGACTTAATAAGTTCTTTAATTTCTCTAAATATAAACATGATTTTTTGTAGTATAGTCATGTTAGCTTTATTTCCTTTAGTTTCTGTGTGTTTTTCATACCATCCACAGTCAGCTGGATGAACAACTCTTGGTTTCCTCTGGTGGTGCTGGTGTAGCACCTGTATCTGCCCCCATCCTGAGAATTCACATTTTTCAGCAGTAGTGAGGCATTTCCACTGGAGATCTGGTCCTTAAAGATTGACGTCCTGCCTTTGAAGCGCTGGTTCTGGCTTCCAAGTTGATCTTTGTTGTAGTAAAATGAGTGGACAGCAATGTTTTCTGTCATCCAGTGGATGACCTCTTCAGGACCAGGCTGAAACTGACATGGTAAGATGCAGTTGTCCTTCAAATCACAGGAGACAGCTACATCTGTAAAACATCAGGTTCAGAGAAATCAATAAGGCCTCATTTAAGCAAAAGCGGTGAGTGATTTATTATTGTTTAGGCCTCTTGTGACATATTTAACTGTTTGAGGGGTGTATAAAATTTATAGAATTTTTGTGGAGTATTTAGTAAAACCAACCAACAAGCTTTCTCTTTACCACAAAAGATCGATATGTTATCTGCATCACTACAGACATCACACCAGTTTTTAAATATCCCATTTTAGTCGTCCCACTCATTTAAACTCAAGATATTTTATCTCTTTCCCTTTGTGCACCGAGCCTTTACTGATCCAGACTGAGCACTCAGCTGAGAGCCATTTCCTCAGAGTTGCTGATTCTCATGCCAGCTACTTTTCACTCAGCTGTGAGCTGCCCAAATACAAGCTGAAGGCCATTGCTCAATGTTTCCGACAAAACCAGTTCTATCAAGGCTGAGGGGTAAACTTAAAGGAGCTTTGTTGCTGAACTTAAACAAAGTACAAGTTAAAGCAGGTCTGGATCAAATAATCTGAAACTTCAGGTCTCCTTAGAAAACACACATGGAAAGACACAACCATGTGGAAGAACACGACAAAGAACAGACAGAGACTGAGACAACATATGGGCAGAGGACAGTGAGGGAATAAGTAGTTTATGTACAAACAACTGAAATCAACTGCAGATAAAGAGAGTAGAACTGAATACAAAGCAAAAGGGACAAGAAATCACCAAAATAAATCAGGAAATAACTAACACTGAAACCATGACTAAGAGAGACAAGCTTGACACAGACTGGACGAAGCATGAATACAAAAGAAGCTTACCACACCTAAAGCAAGCAGGAAACAAAAGGCACAGAAAACAATACCATAATAAGCACCAGGAATGTAAACATAACACTGTAACCAGAGGCTAATAACAATACAGAACCAAAATACAAAGATCATCGAACATACATAATTAGAAAAATGCCAAACATCCCCAACTCAAAACCCTGGATCCAATGGTCAAATGCCTTCACCACATCTACAAACCACATTTAGACTGGTTGGGCAAACTCTGTGCACCCTTCAATATCGTGAAGCATCCTGAATCGGAGGTTTGAGTAACAGACTCCACTCTAGTGCTCTGGCATAGATCATTACAAGGACACTAAGGGATTTTTTTTTTTAATTGCTAAAATTAAATAGATGCTTTGACCTATTTATGAGCCTGGAAATGAAAGGGTATCTTTTTAGGAATACATAGATAAATAAATGTTATGATAAATTATAAATGTATCTAACTTCAAAACTGTTATGGAACGGCTGTGTTCAGACAGAAATAGGACCCAAGGTGCAGACACTCGGAGGCAAAACTTGAACTCAAAACAGCTTTAATGTTAAACTCAAATATAACATAACTGGAAATATCAAAATAAACTTACACTGGAAGACCGACAGAACACACAGCTAATTAAATGGTAGATCGCAACACGGGCACAGAGAAACACAGGGCTTAAATACACAGAGGGAGCAATCAGGGAATGGGTAACAGGAGGGAAACACAGCTGGGGCAAATCAGGCCTAACGAGACAAAGGAAGCAAAACCAGATGCATTTACATGAGACACAGACTTTCAAAGTAAAACAGGAAACATGACACACACTGAACCAAAGACACAGACTAACATGCGCGCACTGCAACAGAGGGAACAGAGACGTGGGACCAGGGCAGAAAGACACTGACTGGACACGGGGATATAGCAACTAAGGATTACACAGAGACAAACCATAAGACATAACTCTAACGAAGAAACCAAAGAATAGAAAAGATAAATAATACAATAAACTCAAAACCCTGGGTCAACGACCCAGGCATCCTAACAAAAACAGGTCACAATCATGTGTTCTGTGTCAACCAAGTTACTCAGGGAGTGGTCAATATTAGTATGAAACACAGAAAAAAGAAATGTTGTGCAAACCTCTTTGTGTGTGTGATATGCTTTAAGAGATTAAAAAGAATGAAATAGGATAAGGAAAAGTACAAACACTGTTTAGACTTAAACTCAAATAATCCACCCATCAATCTGGAGGCTAGAGTTCAACTTTCATTTCAGACCACCTATTACATTTTGACGCCATGCTTTTCCTTTTCAACTCACTGCTTGGTTATGATTAGTCATAAAAAGTATAAGCCACCGGTTTTTAGATAATAAGTTTTAATCTGTCCAAGCAAGTCGCACCAGTTAGCAGCCATCTTAGTAAATGGCAGAGATTCAGGTAGGGATTTTGAAATGTTCATCTAAAGAATGACAAAGAGCTTACGTTCATTGGGTGGTTCACATGTAAACAGTACTTTTCTAATCTCACTGACAACTGACAGTGTTTTTGATCACAAACCACATCTGAACATTAATTAATATCCCATATATATATGTGTGTGTGTGTGTGTGCGTGTGTGTGTATGTGTGTGATTGTTTGTGTGTATATATAGTTTGGGAAACTGAAAGCATTAAACAATGTTAAGAAAATGTTAAGAATGTCTCCTTGCAGGTTTGGTTACTTTCGGAGGAGATGCCTACGTACACAACAAAGAACCAAGTCGTTTATATGAAACTGTTTTTAAACCTTATAAAATAATAATTGAAAGTTTTCTAACTGCTCAATAAACACTGTGTGTGATTTGAACTTGACCAAAGTTCACTGAGACCAATTTAACTAATGGTTAACTCTGACTGTTTTGGATTTTTTTAAAATTGTTACTAAACATTCTTTTCCAAGCAAACCAGTTGTAACGTATTAAAGGATACCTGACCCAGTTTACTGTGGAAAGTATTATTTTTTGTGTCAAGTTATCTTATCTCACAGTGTCAGTGGAATTTATTTTTCTGATCTCAAAGTGAATATCCTTTTACTTGATTTCCTTTAATCATTAACACAGAACCACATTTACAAAATATATATATATCTTTAAAGCTTAAAGTACCACAGATTATAATGAGGTCACATCCACTTTAATGAGGCATTACACTAATAACTGATAGCTTTGGTACATAACAGACAGTACATGTTATTGAGGTTAGTGGTCATCGGTGTTTCGAGCAGAACAAGGTCAGACAAAGTATAAATATAGTGTCTCTTACCACAATTGGCAAAAGTCCAGAAGAAGCTTAGAAAAAAGACCACCACAACCACTCGAAACTTGGCCACAATCATTATCTTAAGGTTCTGTTCACCTCTCCAGCCTAAAAAGAACTGAAAGGAAAACAGCTGTCATGTGTCACTCGTTTCAGAGGCTGGGCTATTTAGAGGCAGTGCAGTACTATGAGGCAAGACTAGATCGGCTGTGCTTCGAGTGCGGTCTAACTCCTCACATTCAGATAAAATATACCAGTTTGTTGAAAAACCTGGTTATAAACACAATTGTGAATCTGAACTTGCAATTTTTTCAATTAATTTGTAATTTGAGGGATTTTTTTCATCCTCTGTATTTTGGTCCTCTCACAAATACATTGTGGATTTGTTATCCTCTATGATCTCAGATAAGTTCTGATATTATTAGAAATTATTAGAGGTTCAGAAAGGCTTTTAGAGGTTTAGGATCTCAGCTCTGATGTGAGTGTTTGTGGGGATGTATTACATTGTACAGGGAGTATAAAAGTCAAGTTGCATAATATAGGCTGAAGGATTAAAAGTTACAAAACTTTGTTGTAAAACATTCACTGGTCTAAGGTTCAGTTCAAGTGAAAAAGATACAGTTTGCCTTTCAGCTGCATGCTAGAAAATAGAATGATACCAAAGTCAGGACTGGAGAAAAAAAAAACAATTTTCCAGCCCAAACTTATGAGAAACATGATTTTCATCTGAGAGCTTGAAAAAAAGACAACTGAGCGTTGCCACATGATAGGGTGAGGTACAGTAGATCGTACAAAAATAGATACAGAGAAAAACCCAACAATCACATGACCCCCTATGAGCAAGCACTTTGGCAACAGTGGGAAGGAAAAACTCCCTTTTAACAGAAAGAAACTTCCGGCAGAACCAGGCTCAGGGAGGGGCGGCCATCTGCTGCGACCGGTTGGGGTGGGGGAGGAAGACAGGATAAAAGACATGCTGTGGAAGAGAGACAGAGATTACTAACAAGTATGATTCAGTGCAGCGAGGTGTATTAACACATAGTGAGTAAGAAAGGTGACTAAAGAAGAAATAATCAATGCATCATGGGAATCCCCGGCAGCCTGCACCTATTGTAGCATAACTAAGGGAGGATTCAGGGTCACCTGATCCAGCCCTAACTATATGCTTTAGCAAAAAGGAAAGTTTTAAGCCTAATCTTAAAAGTAGAAATAGAGTCCGTCTCCCCAATCCAAGCTGGTTCCACAGAAGAGGAGAAACAACAACCTTTTGAATGTCTTAGTTCCAAAGGTGAACACTTGGATAAAAAATAAAATAAATAAAAATAAAATAAAATAATAACAGGGACTGATATTATACTGACATGATGGAAAGAAGGAAGATATTTATTTTGTGGGAGGGTGACCAGGTAGAAGGAAGCATGACCAGGAGCATTGGCAGCAGATTCAAGCAGGTCTACCATGGTGGCAATAGGAAGAGAAATGGAGTAGGGGATATCTTGAAGGAATAATAAGTAAAGAGTGTTGTGAAGGTGAAAGGATTTGCAGTACAGACAGCACACCTACGCCTCTGGCCCTCCTTTGCTCCCATGTAAAATTTGTTAGGTCTGCCACTGGTATAGCTGATAAATGTGTAATGATTGATTAAAGCACTGCAGCTTTAAGGAACCAATACCAGGTGTGTCCTTCCTGATATCTCTGACTCAGGCTGACCATTCATGATAAAATCCCTAAAATCTCTGGCAGCAAAGTATCAAAGGTTAACGTTTTGCTGTTGTGTCACTATCTGTGATACTCTTACCCTTTTAAAGTTCAACTTTATACAGACAGGTAGATTAGTGTTTGTGACATATTTAACATGAGATGTCACAACTGATAAGGGCATTACACACTCATACGTTAGTCTGGCACTGACAGGGTAGCCAATTCAGAAAGCATTCCCTGTTTTATTGTGCTGGTAACTCTTAATAAGATCATAATTTAGTGGAGAAACATTCTGTAGTTTTTTTCCATTCTCCTCAATAAAGCTCACAGATGGAGCGGACCCAGTCTTCAGTCTGGGTCCGCTCCATCTGACTCCAAACATGCTGTGGTGAAACCTATTCTTAAAAAGCAGACTATGGTCTCAACAGTTTTATCAAATTACAGACCAATCTCTAAATTGCTTTTTGGTCAAAAGTAGTACAGTCTGGTTTTAAAAGATGTTAAGACATGGATGGCTTTAAACTTTCTCAATTTGAATGAACAGAAAACTGAGGTCACTGCCTTTGGTCTTTGTGACCATTATGACCTTGGTCCCTTAGAAAACTATAAAAAATCATTTGCAGGAAATTTAGGAGTGATCTTTGACTGTACTGTACTAAAGTACTGCTACAGTACTTTTTCTACTTTAGCTGGCATGACTACTGCTGAGGAAACATTGTCTGAAACTTCAGACTCATGTACTCCCTCCTCAAACATAACTGAGAACTTTACTGAGGCACCACAGGCTTCTACATGTGTTCATCTTCATTTATTTATGAGAATCTTTGTGCTGGATGTTTTTGGGGGGCTATATGTAAAATCTCCTTTAGGGCCACCAAAATCCCAGGTCCAGCCCTGTATTCACCACTGGCTTGGTCTGAGAATAATGGCCTGCTCACTTCAGCATTTGCAAATTCAATTAATTTTTAGTTGGCTTGATTATGAAGGTTAAGTAATTTGTTGGACTGTTTCAGGCTTCAGTTGAGATGAAACTGCTTAGTTTGATTTCAGTTGACAGAGCTCTTGTGAGAATGAAGGAACCTGTTTTAACGTAGTTGCTCTATTGCCCCAGTTACATTTCTTCCCTCTGTTGGAGTATAAAATGTTCTACTACAAAAGACAATAGTTAATACAGTATCTCTTTAATTAATTTTCTTTCTCATTAACTTTCATATCCAGGAGAAAGTGTCCAGAGCTGTGAAGAGACAGGCCAGGAGCTATTTTCTACTTGCTGATATTTTGTCTTCCAAAGGGAGGGTGGCTAGGTCGCAAGCTACTATTAATACATGCGTAAGATGAGACCAGGCTTTAGAGGTGCATACAGCAGTCACTTAGTTTGTTTTTGTGAGGAGTGTTCAGCCCTGCAAACTTTGACTCAATAATTCCTGACTGTCCCCCAGGGCTAGGCATCATTTGGGTACAGATGTGTTAAAATCTTCCAATTCTTTGATCTTTGGGCTGAAGGAAGAACAACAATTCCATACAATTCTCATTATTCCATAAAACACTTTTGAGCATTAACCATCTGGATCGGAGATGTGGACAGGAGGGTGTCCGCCAAATCTCGAAGTGTCTGACCGTTTCTCACATTCTTATAGCTTTGGCCCCCCTTCCACAGTCACAAAACCTAAACATCCAGATTCTTTCTATCTCAGTGAGCCCAAGTTATGACCTTGGCTTCCTGTGCAGTATGTTCTGTCCCTTCCTAATCAGACAAATAAGACCTTGATTCTCTGAGAACAGTATTTCTTATGAATCAGCAGTATAATGCATCATAAACAATGCAATTCATTCAAAATAAATCAGCAGTCTAATGTAATACAAATCAGTCAGGAGAATAATGCAAACTAAAACTACATAATGATTTCACAATCTTTCATTAGAGGTATAATGTGGCATAAGATAACATAATAATCTCACAGATGTTTCAATATATTTCAGAGCCTGACTTTTTCTAGAGAAAAAATGGGTTTCTGAATTCCTTAAAAAACAATTTCCTGTGGATTTTGTTTGTTTATTTGTTTCTAGGATTGAGAAAAAGGCATTTTTGGGCATCTTTACAAACAAATGTTTCTGTAAGAACACTTTGAGTAACTGCAGATACATAACTGCAAGTACTAAATGTACCAGCTCCCCAGGAAGATGCTACAACATAGCTGTTTATAAGAGATGAAGCATGCAGACTGCTGTACTGCCACTATTATTATCCACTCTTTCTTAGAAGTTCTCTTCAGTGTGTAGCAGTGTGTGTGTTTGTTGCGTTAGTATTTCATTAGTGACTGGTCTCCGGTTAGCTTGTAGCTGGCCTGAGGGTCTGATTGTCCATTGGTGCTGCCAGTCAGACGGCTGTTCTCATTCAGGTTACTGTCACCTGCAGCTCCATGTGGAACAAGAGAAATGCATTCTGGGTAAGAGGATTAGATATTATAGAGTAGGCAGTTTGGTCTGCAATTTAATTGGTTCACTTGGTCACACATGAGTTACCTAAATAGGCATATTTTCTTTCATAATGAGAACTGGATGAGAAGGTGGGCAGTGTTTAAATCTGTAAGTAATTAAGTCATTTCAAGCAGTTATTGGATTTCTTAAGACTTAAAACTGAAAATGCCAGTTAAACAACAATGTGTGATGTGACAATTAGATTATACTGCTGTTGAACTTGCTGTAACGTTGTTTGGTGGTTGATTATTCAACTTTGCCTAATATTGCAGTTGTTTGAAATATATCACACTCCCTGTTAGTATAAATAACATTTCACCATCACCTTTGAGTTGTAACCAGTTATGCAGTTTTTGGGCAACAATAAAGAGCTTAGTGTTTGAAGTTATTCTCTGGCTCCACCTAGTGTCTGGTTTTGTAAGTATATACAAAACCGTCTTAATGATCTTTGACTGCATGCAGCTCACGAACTGTTTCGTACTGCATACAAGAGAGAGAGAGAGAGAGAGAGAGAGAGAGAGAGGTGTGTGTCTGAAACAATAAATAAATCAGCAATGACTTCAAAAGCTGAAGTTGTCTGTCTTTTTTTTTTTGACGTCCTGCATTGTGAGTGAACCTTGTGGGAAAAAAAACAGCCATAACTCAAAAACACTTAGTACAGCAATAGACTTGACTTGATCTATTTATTTATTGTGGTTTGATGGTATTTGAATTTCTTTTCCTTGTCCATTTATAGATCCCTGAATCACCTCGACTGAGTCTCGCTGAAGGAGTAACAACTCTACTGCATTTCCCTCCTTAATCACTAATCTCCTCACCTTATCTCTAAAGGAGCCACCTTTCGAAAGACGCTCATTTCATTGATAATATATATATTATCTCAGTCTTTTGAGATACCAGACCTTAAGACCGTAGGATAATGTAACTTATGTAGTTTGATTGGCAATTCAAAAGCTTCAGTTCTGTGCTCAGCTC